CCCTGGGCAGCCCATTCCAGAGCCTGACAGCCCTTTCAGGTAAGAAGTTTTTCCTAATGTCCAACCTAAACCTGCCCTGGTGCAGCTTCGAACCATTCCCCCTCATCCTATCATCTGTTACCAGGGACAATGCAGGACTTTGCATTTATCTCTTACTAAAGCCAGTTAACAGGACAAACACCAGACACTGAGACGTGAAGATGGCTGAAAATGCAGCTTGCTGCGGCGCCAGGTCAGGTTCACAGACGCAGCCTGATGCTCCTCTTGTCAGTCCAAGTACCCACACGCCTTCCATGGAAATGACCCCACAGCAAGTGGGCAGCGGGGTGTCCCCATCTCCCTCCGGCCCCGGAGCGGGGGGCTGGGGTCCCTCCGAGAGCGCAGCCAGCAGCGTGCCGCCCAAGGGACACCCCGACCCTGCCTCCCGCACGGGGCCCCGCAGCGGGATTTCGGGGGAATCACTGTCTGCTGCGGCCACACAGATGGCCTGCCAGGATTGCGGGACACTCCTGGGATCCCACCAGGAAGGACCCGTCCCTCACCACAGAGGGAACCCTGGAGCCCACCCACGGTCTGCTCCTGGTCTCCCATGGCGTCCCTGGGCAGGTCACCCATCCAGGGAGACGCTGCCTCCACGTTGCCTGGGCCACCACCTCCAGGTCTGTGGCTCGGCACGGGCACTGCTGTCCCTCCTGGTGAGCACCGCATTGGGCCATCGCTCTGCCACCGGGACCGGCCCGATCCCTGGCCCTGGCAAGGGACGGCACTGCTGGCACCTCCGCCATCCTGCCAAACAGCCCTTCCAGGGGCCAGCAGGACCGAGGGGACCCTCGGGCCAGGGACCGGCCCCACGGATGAACCGCAGGCTCGGAGGCAGCAGCGCAGGCACCGAGCTCTGAAGAGCTGGGTGTGCACCACAGGGAAGGGACGGGGACCCCGGGCCACAGCAAGCCCCTGGCCCCTGCCCGAAGGATGCGCCCCTGCTCCTCCAACCTCTGCAGGCAGGGAACGCTCGGGCTCCAGCTGGCTCCAAGATGCTCTTGGCCCAAACCAGCCCATTACCCAGCAAAAATCACTGCCAGCGCTGGCTCCTGCTTCAAGAGGTGGCACGGCAGATCGACAAGAGAAGTTCCGAGACTTTGCTGATTTTAGCACCACCGCAAGAAGGCAGGCGCAGACCCTCGTCTTCAAATTGTTTGCCATAGGCATTTGATTTTATGATGGTGGTTTTTTCAAGACTCCAGAGCCTGGGGAGGTTGGAACTACATGTTTTCCCATGACCCAAAACCGTTTTTCAACTTTCTTGGTTGGCAGAGATTTTGAGCCGCAATTTCATTTTGAACCGACCTAAAAACAAGATTTTAAGGGCTTTCCTTTTTCGTTATCATCAAAGAAATGAGACCTCATCTGATGGGACAAGAGACGGGAGCACGAGTTATTGCAAACTGCGGCTCACCGCCCCCGGGTCACGGCCACGAAGCCCGCTTCCCCCGTCAGACAAAGGGGTTCGTGCCGAAACCCTCCGGCAGCGCCTGGCACGCAGGCATCGCTGCGACGATCTCTCAGCACATGCCCCACTTTCCTCGGCGCTCTGCATCCACAAATCAGGATGCGTGCCATTCCTCCCAGGCCCTTCCTACAGAATAGTTATGGTGCATCCACATCCTGAAAGAATTTAAGGTTCAAAACAATTGATTAATTTGCTCTCCACTTCTAGGAGGAAGTCAGATCCCTTATGGAAGGGCATCAGGAATTCTAATTACTCAATGCAGGCAGCAAACAGCTCTTCCAGATTGAAGTGTTCTCCCCTCGTCGCTGCCCTGCTTCCTTCTCTCCCCCACAAAATTAAATTCCGATTATGTCAGAAGGCAGGAGCATCTGCGATCTACTTGAACTCGGTCACAGAAGCAACGTTCACTCCCGGCCCTTGACGAAGGGCTGTCCCGAACGCAGAGGAACATCTCCCACCATCCCAAGAAGGGCCACCACCACTCTCCCCTTCCTCGGCGGTGCAGTGTCACCACGGAACGGCTCAACACCTCGTCTCCCAAAGGTGCCCAGGTCTGTGGGCCAACAGGGGACCTTCCCCTCCCGTCCTGTCCCACACCGACCACTCCCCTGACCTCACCTTCCAAGAGTTATTAAAAAACCACCATTGGACTACCATTTTTTTAAAAATATCTTAAAATATTACAACATTTTTTACTTTCTCCAAAGCCACTGTCACACCCAGCATGGTCAGGGTCACTGCCAGGGGCACTGAGCAAAGTGACCACCACTGGAGACGCCAAGAAAAGTAGCGTCTCCGCTCCTCTGCAAATCACAACAGCATCCCTCACGGTCTGTTCCGCAGGTCTGGTCTGGTTTCCACTGCATCCCCTGTCCAAATTAAGAGCTCTGGCATCCGCCGACAAATGTTAACAGCAGGGTCACTGCAGCCAGGCCTCAGGCGGGGGCTGGGAGGTGGCCAAGCGGGGCTGGCGAAAACCAAGGGCACCACTGCGAGGGCTGCAACCCCATCTCATCCTCTCCATTGCATCTGATGGGCTTCCCCCCGACACAAAAAAAGGGGTGGAGCACCCCCGTCCTCCGTGACATTTTCCTCCAAAATTGGCAAGCTTCAATTGCACTGAAATAATTTATTTCGGAGAAACTTGAATAACCCTGGCACAAAGAGAGGATGAGAAGCAGCCTCCACCCCTGGG